TCTCTTAGTATGCCCGCCTCAAACTGTTCCATTTACTTGTCATGTTCAGAGCATGTGTGATTTATGCCAGAGGTTAGTTCATCCTGTGCTCCATGTAAAAACAACTCCTCAGAATTCTTCCCAACTGCTTTCTTAATCCTACGAGTTCAGCTAAGAGAGTCGTTGCTACACTTTGCATTATTCAAGGTTGTTGTCATATGTCAAGATTCCACAATGATGTCATAGGCCAAGGTTGTACAATGATGTCGTAGGTCAAGATTCTAGAATGATGTCGTAGGTCAAGATTCTACAATGATGTCGTAGGTCAACATTCTACAAAGAAGTCGTTTGTCAAGATTGTAGAATGTTGTTTATACTGCAGTAGTTATCACGTTTACCTCTCACATGACAGGTTTGAAACCAGGTGGGATCATGTTTAGCTGTCCATAAAAACCCTGAAGAAGAACTCCTCCAGCAATCACTCAGTGAGTGAATGGAAACAATTGAACACAAACACGAGGAGGAGGAGGACAGCAAATATTTACATTGGCAAAGTGTTGCTTTCTGTCTTTTTGGTTAACACACAGCGGCAGACAGAAAAATCAACACTACCCAAACAGTTTCACCACCATTATCGCTTGGGTCATCCCCCAGCTGGCAGTTTCACAACCGTTCCCAGCTCGAAGCATGTGAGTCCTGGAGTGCCACCCCTACAGTTTGCCTGCCGGACAAATAGGTAAGTGGATGATGCAGTTTGTTTGTGGACTTCAGCTCAGCATTCAACACATCATCCCTGAAGGCCGACGCTACAGACTCACCCAACTTATTCTACAGAATACTTTGTCGTAAGTCAAAATTCTACAATGATGTCGTAAGTCAATAGTCTTCAATGATGTCGTAGGTCAAGATTCTACAACGGCATTGTAGGTCAACAGGTAACTCAACACAGGTTTGCCTCCAATTAACTCAAATGTGGTCAGTTAACCAATCAGAAGCTTCCAAAGCCATGACATCACCATCTGGGCTTTCCCAAATAGTTTGAAGGCACAGTAATCTTTGTGTATGTAAACTTCTGGTTTTGAATAAAGCAGCAAAAAATTCTCTGCCTCATTATTCTGGTATTTACCAAAGAAAATCACTTTAGTAATCCTAACAGATGTAAAAGAGGAAAAGTTTAGTCTACATATCAAATATTGAGAGAAAAAAAAAGAAGGTTATATGTCTTCTAATGGAGTATGTGTGTAATCTTCTTATTTCAACTGTAGATAGAACGAGAAAAAACTCAGGAAGACACACCGTGGACCGGATAGAACTGCATCCCATCATCAGGGGCTAACACACACACACACACACATACACACAGATCCACATGAGATGGCACAAAATGAGGTACTCAGGTCCTGTTTGTAAGCCGATAGAAATAAAGGAACAGGAAGGTACAGGAAGTGGAGATTGTCCAACTTGATCCTGCTGCAGGACATGGGTGGACACGAGCAGGCAGCAGGAGGCTCCGAGCTCAGGGCCCAGGACAGAGTGACACCAGAGACCACGGCCCAATTCATAGCAGGGAGGCGGACGCATCTGACAAACACTGTTTTACACCGCTGTGGTCAGCTTTCCAAAGTCTGTCCATGACCACGTACCGTACAGCCCAGTTCCTGACCAGGAAAGCTGCTGGACAGTAAGTACGCTCATGGATCGGATCATGTCTTTCCTTTCATTTCATTTGGAGTTTGATGGTTCCGAGATGAAACCTCCACCGTTACTCCTTCACTGGTGCCTTCTTTTTCAACACCATAAGTCCCTCTGGAGGAGGCTGTTTTGGGTGGAAATGCTGGTTCAGTGTGGATGGAGGCTAAAATCCACTCATTTAACATTTTTCAATCTGCACTTCCCACAAGATGGAATCTGTACTGTGGCTGTCTCTTATCAGGATCTTATAGCAGTTATTGCTGTACGTGTTTTAAACGTTTTGCAGTAAAACATTGTCGGAGTGGCTCATAGCTATGTTGTCTGGGTGACTTCTCAGCAGCGCCCTGCATTCTGTTCAGCACAAGCTGCCACATCCATGGAGCTCAGTAAGGACTTTCTGTGTTTTAAGGTTAATAAAATGCTTCAAAGAAAAAATCAGCAGACAAGTTTGTGAAGCTCATAACACATCAGTAAACTAGTGAATGAAAAGTCTCCAGTTTGGTTTGACAGTGGAGGTGAATAAAGGTAAACAAGGAAAGTCTGATGTAAAAGAGTGAGACTGACCCGGCAGCTGCATGAACCTGCTGTGCTGGAATAAAAAGAGAAACACTCAGTGACTGTGAGCACACCAGCAGTTGAGGGTGAGCATTCAACGACAGAAAGTCGGTGGGTGTGTGGTCTTTGTGTGCGTGTCTGTCAGCAATGGCCTCAGTCTGTGTGTCTCAAAACACTGATGTTTCCTGATCAGAGCGATTAGTTTTGTTTCGGTAAATATGATCTTCTGCTGGGGGAGAGTTTATGGTGGAAATGAGTGGACTGTTGGAGGCAGGACAAGTAAAAAAGATTCAAGCATTAGAGATGGCGGCGCGTATTTTGCTTTCATCTCTCTTGACGACCTACTTCCCTTATGTATGCCTGGAGGTAAAAACGGTGGGACGGTGGGACAGTGGGACGATGTGCCCCCGTGCCAATCGATGGCCAGGAAAACCATCCGACGTGGTTCCCGTAGTGTAGTGGTTATCACGTTCGCCTCACACGCGAAAGGTCCCCGGTTCGAAACCGGGCGGAAACATCTTTATTCATCCACAATGATGCCGCTGAATAGGAACATCAAACACCTATGACAAACTCACTCAGTGGGCACAAGGAAACAGTGACAGGAGGAGGATCCAGCATCAGCAGGGACCGAGGCCCAAAACGTCACAATTGTGGTGCCGTTTTGCTTTTATCCTTCTTGGCGAACACACAGCAGCTGATAGAAAAGTCAACACTCCCCGTCGGGGAATCGAACCCCGGTCTTCCGCGTGACAGGCGGAGATACTGTCCACTATACTAACGAGGACTGCATGGACCTCTCTTTTTGTCATGTCATGCACCGGCTGACCCGGCCACGTGACTTGTGTGATGCTTAAGGCGCTTTGTTGAGCTCACTCCCCAAACAGTTTCACCGCCATTCATCCCACAGCTGGCAGCTTCACAACCGTTCACACCTGGAGGCATGCGAGTCCCTCCGTGTTTATGGGCCACCAGCTGTGTGTTTTGTGGGCTGAGAACAAATTGCTGGGACTCTCCGTCCTCAAAGACAGGCAGACCCAAAGAAGCTGCTCGGGTGAGATGTGAAAAGTTTTCTTTGACCAACAAGGGAGGCCCACTTACCTTCTTCTGCTGGAGCAGGTCAGCAGATGACGCAGCCAACGGGGGACTGCGTGACATCCTGCAGCACCCGGACATGTGCAGGGGTCCTGTTTGCGGACTTCAGCTCGGCGCGCAACACCGGCGTCCGCGGCAACAAACTCACCCAGCTTCGGCCGCAGAATACTTTGATGCTGTTACTCGGAGAAAACACAAACAACCCAGTGTGTTTCCGCCCGGTTTCGAACCGGGGACCTTTCGCGTGTTAGGCGAACGTGATGACCACTACACTACGGAAACTGCCTGCAACTCGTCAGGCACAGGTACGAACGACCAGAAATGAACAAATGATCAAAAAGTAAATGTGTGACACCCACTGACTATTCGAAATCATAATAACGACACCTACTTCCCTTATGTATGCCTGGAGGTAAAGACGGTGGGACGATGTGCGCCCGTGCCAATCAATGGCCAGGAAAGCCATCCGACGTGGTTTCCGTAGTGTAGTGGTTATCACGTTCGCCTCACACGCGAAAGGTCCCCGGTTCGAAACCGGGCGGAAACATCTTTATTCGTCCATAATGATGCTGACGCTGAATAGGAACATCAAACGCCTATGACAAACTCACTCAGTGGACACAAGGAAACAGTGACAGGAGGAGGGGCCAGCATCAGCAGGGACATCGGACCAAAGCGTCACAATTGTGGTGGCGTTTTGCTTTTATCTCTCTTGGTGAACACACAGCAGCTGATAGAAAAGTGAACCCTCCCCGTCGGGGAATCGAACCCCGGTCTTCCGCGTGACAGGCGGAGATACTGTCCACTATACTAACGAGGACTACATGGACAGCTGTTTTTTACATGTCAGAGTCGCCACGTGACTTGTGCGACGCTTAAGGCGCATTGTTGAGCTCACTCCCCAAACAGTCTCACCGCCATTAACGCCTTGAGTCATCACTCAGCTGGTAGTTTTACAACCAATATTCTACAACAATGTTGTAGGTCAAGATTCTATAATAATGTCGTAAGTCAAGATTCTGGAATGATGTCGTAGTTCAAAATTCTACAATGATGTCATAGGTCAAGATTCTTCAATAACGTCGTAGGTCAAGATTCTACAGTGTTACCGTAGGTCATGCTTCAATGTTGCCATAGGTCATGATTCTATGATGCTGTCATAACCCAATACTCCATGATGCCAATCAAAGGTAACCAAACCATCAATCCACAAAACATATTAAATTTCAGTATAACTCCATCAATTACTCGTCAAAACAGACTACTGACATGATAACAATGCCTTTTCAGCAGTCTTCGTCAGTATAGTGGACAGTATCTCCACCTGTCACGCAGGAGACCAGCATTTGATTACCTGATAGGGAGAGTTCGTCTTTTCACCAGCTGTTGAGTACTCACTGAGTGGATATTTCATATGCTGTTCAGTGTGTGGAAACCACATGCTCATGCTCATACTCATATCTGAAACATAGGTTATAAAGTGGAATCAATTTTGCCCGCTTTCCAACACCAGGGGAAAAAACACTTTGTCTTCCATATGCAAATGCCAACAATCATATCAAACCACGCCACAGAAGAAAATAATTATTACTTGACATAAATAACACGTACGTGTGTGTGGCCGGTGGGTGGCAGTGTGCGGCGCTGCACCGTCCACTTGGTCGAACACGTGGAGTACGACGTCATCCATGTGCGACGGTCGACGCCACAGATTTCAACATGGCTGAATCGGAGTAAGTATTGTTTTTTTTAATCATATCTAAGTCCATCCGAGGTCCCTCCTCGTATAATTTAATCACATTGAGTCTTTCCGAAAAATACACGCTGTACGAACTCGGTGAAGGCTGATATTTAGAGGGTCGATGGATTTAAAAGCATCTTGTAGGCGGTATAATTTCACATGGAGCCGAGTGACCAACAGCAAATAGCTAACGTAATAAAATATCGGTATTTGACTCTAGTTATTGTAAAATGAAATGTTTTTATGCAGCTGACAGCACCTCAGCTGTGTGTTTTTTAAGTTCTGTTTGGGTTACATTTCTACTGTCTGCTAATTTGACCTGTTAACAGCAAAGTTGCCAACCTGATGTTGTGTAGCTGATTTGTTCTCTTTGGAAACACATGACAGGTTATCTTTAACACGCCTGAACGACAATTTAAACTCCTGCATGGGAATGTTTCTGTTTTTTGTTTTTTTCCCCCTATTTTTATCGGTAAATAGATGTTAGTCAACTGCCCACAAGAAATTTTTCACCAGTTCAACTGCAGACAAGTTCTCAACCACTGAGTTAATCCACATTGTAGTCAGGTGTGATTGACAATGTTCAAATATTGTGAGCAGACATCGCTTTGAACAGTTACTTAAAAGGCCATCATAATGTGTATCTTTTTTGAAATTACACGGTGCCACAGAATTCCCACAACTCCCACCATTTGTCGCCTTAGAAATTGTTTAAGACAGCTCTGGATGGACGTGTCAAACAACTTAAACCTGCCATCCAAAATGACTGGAGGACAGGTTCTGACTGGGCGTCCATTCTGTTGGAGAGATGCTGTATCGTGGAGCAATACATATATATTCCCCTTTAATGAAAATGGATGGATGTTATATACGAAACTGTTACACGCTGTTTTCATTTCTTTGGCTGAGTATATACATGAAAATGTGCAGACCTCGCTCCGACAGCTTATAGATGAACTTGGTAAACAGTTTATCGAAAGTTGACCTCACTGACTTTGTTTCTGTATGCTTCTATTCCCAGATCGAAGAAGGTGATCAAGTTAGTTCCAGAGTATCTCCTGAAAAAGAGGAAACAGTACCAGGCTATTAAGGCTACACAAGCCAAGCTTGCACTGCTTGAGAAGAGAAAAGTAAGTAATGGTGGTTTTTGCATGGGTTTATTTAGCAGCGTGATTAGTCAGATACAGGAGAAAGCATCAGCTCTGCCCAGAGGGCTGTACTACAAAGCAAGATTAGTGGCTCTCTATTAACCTGGTAGATCGCCACGGTAACTAACACTGCACAGCTAACCTGCTCTGGAGGTGGTTCTGGTCAGAGTTTGACTTTCAAATAGGCTGTTAGAAATGTCTCCCTTTCACCAGTTCTTTACCAATTTGTGTACTTTATTCTCTGTCAGCAGAATTTCCTCTGTGTGAACACAATACATCTGCTAACCTGTGGAGCGGTACATTAGTAATTCCAATGAAAGAGGCCATGCAGTTATAGTGGGCAAACTGTGTGTGCATTGTCTTGAGAATCTACATGCATTTAGTTTGTGATGCAAGAAATGCATAGATATGTTTTTCTGCTTGATCCTAATCTGCATTACAAAGTGCACAATGTCTCTTTTGACTTTGCGGCACTTCTTGAGTATCATATTTCAATGTATGAAACATAAAGTTTAAGAGCGTTAATGTGCAGAAATAAGCAGCTGCATTGTGTGGTAAAATACAAATATTCAGTCAGTAAACTAACAGTCTTCTTCCAGCATTCCTTTCTTTCTTAATTTGCAGTAGCAGCGATTTTTACCATAATGCATTTTTTAAAATTCTTCATAGCCCTCTTTTGTTACAACTTGTTCCTCTTGACAGAAGTAGGCAGAGCACCATTAGTTTACTTTGTGTGGAAGAATACCGGATAGACATTAGCCTTGTGCTAAATCCGGCGTATTTACTGCAACCTGAGATTGTACGTTCATTAATACACACTGTCCCGTCCAAATAAACAAATGAAATAAAATAAATAAATAACATAAGAAGAGTAGAATTTTCCGTCACACAGAAGTGCACAAAGAGCCTTATGGGGAAAAACTTGTTTAACAAAAAAGCTGATAACACCATTGTGACACTTATTTTATCTCTCATTTAAGTTTTAGTGAACACGCAGACAGCCTGACTACGTTCAACTTGCTCCACAGTGCATCCATCTGGAATTAACCTTAAGCTTAACCTTAGATGTAGACTTGATGAGAAGTTAATACACTATCGATATTTTTTTGTACTGCTCTTTATTTACATGTATATCTCTGTATTATTGCAGGTATCAAAAGGCAAACCAATACAATTCAAGCGCTTGGAAGATTTTTTGAAAGACAGTCACAGGAAGCATCGTGATGATATTCGCATCCGCAGAGCTGATCTCAGACCCCCTGCCCCCATGCCTCCTGAAAAGCACAGACTGGCCTTCGTCGTCCGCATCAGGGAGTGAGTACTGTTGTATGTTTTTTTTAGTAGTTGAATGTACGAATCCTGAATATTAGCTTAGATACTTGAAAGTGAAGCATGTTTAATAGTGACTTGTGAAAAGCAATCTGTCATAAGTCACAAGCCCACTCTATCCTCTTGGTGTCTTACACCACCAGCCATGTTTTCATGATGTATTTTTTTGTATGCATCATGAATGCTGCATAGGAAAAAATAATGGGAACTTCCTCTATATTACAAACAAGGTTTTACGCTTGCTTGAAGGGGTTTTCGTCTTTTTCAAAGAACACTCATGGCGCTTCATGGGTGGTGGAAACGGCCGTTTAAAGTTCTGACATAGCGAAAATTGAACTCACATAAGTGATCAGCGGTTTTTAGTTTCTTTTGTTGTTTTTATCTCTGAACAGAGTGAAACACTAAAGAACAATTGGAACCTTTTTCAGAAAATTCCTGAAGACTTCTATTTACTTTTCTGTTAAAGATGACTGAAGTTGTGTTTGTTTCTTTTTCAAACAACTGGTTTTGGTTTTTGGCTCCGTCTACTGTGTCTGACAACAGCCATGTTATTCACTCCAATGTAGTTAATAAAAACAAGACTAATTTACTTCTTTGTTTTGTTTTGTTTTTTGGTGGCTTTTCATAAGTTAGTTTTAGATTTGCTTGACAGTGATACAAAAACATAGCTACTGTCTACAGAGAAGGTGCCCAGTGAGCTGTAGGTCCCCTGTGTTTAGACGCGGTCAGAACAATCACTGTAGTTGAACACTTAGAAAAACAGATGTATTAGACTACACTCACATTTACAGGTGTATTACACAGACTATTGCTGCCTTTGTAGACAAGAGGGCTGATTGAAATAAGAGTGTATCTATTCTATCAGGCACGCATGAGACAGACGAGGCCCTTGTTACACATCATACCTGTTTCCCTCTTCACATTTTCAGTCTCTCTGCGCTGACTCAAATGTTGGCAGATCATTAAAGACTGAGCTGCCCACCCTGTTTGGCTTTGTGTTTTGGCTCTAAGTACACTGTTGGTAGATGAATACCATTCTACTTTGTTAAAATTCAACATTCCTCTCCTGTTAGGATTAAAGGTGTCAGCCTTAAGGTGATGAAGGTAATCCAGATGTTTAGACTGAGGAAGATCTTCAGCGGCTCCTTTGTCAAGATTAACAAGACCTCGACCGCCATGATGAAGATGGTGGAGCCCTACGTGGCCTGGGGGTGAGTCATCCGGACTGTTTTGCTGTAAAACTTAATCTTGGTTTTCATTTTTGGTGTTGCATATTAAAACGCTTGGTAATCTTCTCAACAGCTTTCCCAACTTGAAGTCTGTACGTGAGCTCATCCTGAAGAGAGGCCAGGCCAGGGTAGGGAAGAGAGGTGTTCCTCTGACAGACAACACCTTCATTGAGCAGCACATGGGTAAGTCACGTCCACTGTTGGTTCAACCAGCACGGAATGATAGCAGGACAAACCACCAGCACTAGTGTCAGGCTTAAGTGTTGACAAAGGTCCCTTCAGTGGTATTAATCATGACAGATGAAGGTTTATTTAAGGCAAGAACATCATCCTGTCCTTGTTAAGAATATATTTGGGGTTGTTAATTAAAAAGATTGTCATTATGGGGATCTGTATTTCCGACTTTTCAGCTTACAGTCAGTTCCCTCTTTTCACTTAAGGCATGTAAACTAGCAAGTAAATTGAGGTTAAACACACTTTGGCAATGAATGAAATAAATGTTGCTTGTGTTCAGCTGTGACACCCACTGAGTGGAGATGGCATACATAATAAAGATGATGCAAAGTGTTCTCTCACTTTAACATTTGTGAAACTTGGCTTTAACAGCTTACATTTGTAGCTCTGGATAGTTTGAACTTCAACACCTTCAGTCTGTTTTTTAGACATTTTGAAGACAGATAGTAGCATAGTGATGGGATCAGTGCCCGAAACCTCTCCCCTGCTATAGATTTATATAAATCTAAAAATGAACTGTGAATGCAAATTTATTCAATTTGGGCCTTAGTGATTAATACACAGTTTACTGCATCGTGACTTTTATCTTTATAGAGACTGCAAAGTGGGAAAATATATTAAATAGCCATGACTGACTTTAAAAAAAAACAAAAAAAAAACAGGTTCTGTTTTATTCAAGACTGATGCAGGTGAAAATGCTGAAAAATGACGAATGTCATTTTGACACATCCCCTAAAACAGTATCAAAGTTTCCCCAGCACAGTAGAGCATGAGCAAATAGTTCTTACTTTTGTAAATGAAAATGAGTGGGCTGTCTGTGCATTTAGCATAAATATGAGTCCAGATTCTCCTGGAGTCAACTTAGCCTCTTCGTAGCCACATCTTCATTAACACCTAAAGATGTACATTTACAGCTTATTTCTCCTGTGTTGCTCCTTTTCTTCAAATTTTCTACCATCTATTGTCGTGCACAAAATCTTTCTATGCTGTCTGCCTCCTTCCCATCACTCACCTCCCTCCTCTTGTTCCTCAGGTAAACACGGCATCATCTGTTTGGAGGACTTGATCCACGAGATCTACTCGGTTGGTAAGAACTTCCGGGCCGCCAACAACTTCCTGCTGCCTTTCAAGCTGTCGGTGGCTCGTCACGCTGCCAGGGACAAAGCTGGGCTCCTGAAGGACCTGGGAAACCCCGGCTTCCGCGGTACAGACATTAACTCTATCATCAGAAAACTGAACTGAGGGGAAACCCGTACAAGATGGACACTCGGCACCAGCTTCAAGGATGCTGTATTTGTTGAGGTGCAAATGCCAATTTTCTTTTGGGCAGAGAAGCTCATCGGTTTCACCCAGTTGTGATTATATTACATTTATCTATACACCCGTTTTTTGGTTACACTTGCACCTCGCTGGGAGACGACACAGATGGAGGCTCTTGCCTTCGCCATGTTTGAGTTCTACACTCATGTATGAATAACATCACATAGTGCCCCTGAACACGGATGGATTGAAGCAGCGGTGCTCTTCGGTGGAAATGTAATAAAATTTTTATGAAATGTAAAATATTGTACTTACTACACATACGGCAACATTCCTCAGATTGTCAGAGGAATTAATACTTGCTAGGACAGTAATTAAATATAGAGGGCAGCCCGCCTACAATATTTTTATTTACTGCATTTGGTAGTTTTCAGTGTGAAAAGGTGTGAAGTCTGTGAAATGTGCTCCACACTGATTAATGATTCACTGTTTATACAGTTTGTTTTACAATTAAAAAAAAAACTATCATAATGACAATGAGAGCCTGTCTGTTGATAGAACCTGCAGAGGATGAAGGCACTGTGCTGAAGATGTCATTCCACTGGACACATTCAGGGTTTTTCCTGGTTCTGCGTTGGCATTTGAGGGGGATGACTGCCCATGACAGTGACAGATCTGTGTGCGGTAAAGACAGTAGTCTGTTACCTCATGTGACATGAATCTGTGTATTTTCCTGGTCATTCTTGTCACCGTATGAACAAAATTGTATTTTAGGCTTTGGTAAATGAAACTTCAATTGACAACATTCAAGGTTCAAGAGTTTCTATTTGTCACATGTGACTCAAGGCTGAGCAATAACAAGACAAGAACATTCTTAAACTGAAAAATAGAAAAAGTCACTCAAACAATGATTTAGAGATCATGATGCTGAAGTGCAGTGTACTTTCATTCTTGGTTTTTATCGTTTTGTTGCCGGTGATTTTCCTTTGGCACTGGTTAAAATCCCTTTGGAGGGAATGTAAAACCTCTTTGCGGGGTGCCAAAAACTCTGCCCTGGTGTTGATAATTTAACTCTAAACTGGTTGAATAGTTTCAGTTTACACAACAATATTGGCAATCCCGCAATGCACAGATTCTGAACATAGAACACAGATGGTTTGAGAAAGGAGTAAAGGAAGCCGTCTCTAACCACGTGTCGGGTACTTTGAATGAAGTCTTGATGTCCCTCACCTGTCAGTTTTACCACCATTTGAGGAATATGAAACTTTTGCCCGTAACCAGTAATGAGCCAAGTGATGTGGGGGTGAGAATAAATACCCTGGATTCCCCATCAGTCATTTAGAATTGAAAAAACTTTCTAGTTGAGAGATGACGCCTTTTCAAGAACAAAATGAGAAGTGCGGTTGCCTTCAAAAGAAGCACTTAGGATTACAATATTGGCCAGTATTTGTTTTGTTTTGTTCTTTAGAAAGAACTTGCCTCTGAAGTGTTAGATTTTGTTCTTGCTCTATTTCTAGCAGGTTGCACAGAAGCAGCCCCAGTTACTAGTTTAAAGATTATTTTTAAAATTTGATGCCATGGGATTAAATAGGTCTGCAGGAATGATACTGTATGTAGTACGTGTTTCCTCCTGCCTCTTCCCATCCCTGTGGTGTTACACTGGTGCCACTATTAATTCAACAAGACACATGAGTCACCAGCCGGAGGAGGGGGAAAGAGATGTGGCTGGATGTGCAGCTGCGCTCTCACCAATGCGCACTGGGAGAAATGGAGGATGGTGTCGTGACCGCTGCATGAACACCACTGATGGGTTTTTGTTTTTTTTTCTCCAAACTGGAGGTAAATGTGTGTCATTGGGCCGATGGATGCAGCGGAGGAGACAACATGTACTCACACACCTGCTGTCGACGTAGAGACGAACAGGTAAGATGCAGACAGTTGTTGTGCATGCGGGGGTGAGCGAGGTTTAATGTCTCCACATCTGTCAAAATAGATGATAAAAATCAATCAGCGGGCATTGCCATGGTGATTAATTACCACGATGACGATTTTTCCTGCAGCCTTGCGTCATGATACACACTGAACCGGGTGTTGTACAAAACACACACAATATACATATATATATACATACATACAATAATAATAACAACTGAAATGATGTTGACACGTATACAGCTTCCGTGTCACTTTAAAATTCAGTCGTTCCCAATGGAAATCCTGCGATCACAAATCAATAAACCTATTAAATTTATTTCAGGCCGCCAAAGCACGTGGTGTGTTGCCTTCAGGGATGTCGGGATGATTGCACTTGTGATAAAGCTTGGGGAAGGGTAACGAATGAATGACATTGCGCTTAGAAGCAAGTGTCACATAAAAGCAAACCTTTCACGCTGGAATTACCACTAAAAGCTACTATGCAGTGATTAGCGTTTTGAATTAATGCGACTTGTCTTTTCTACCTAAATCTAATCAAATCTACTTCTCCTAACGATCTTTCAATTAAATAAATCAAATTTAAAGGGCTATCTAAGTGCTTTCTACCAACACGACAAAGCAAACGCATCGTTATGGTGATTTTATAGCACCTGAACGCAGTAGAATACGTTACGTATTCACCGGTGATTGGAGTGAATGTGTAATTTACGAGCTGCACCTGAAGGCATCTGGTGTCAAGGAGAATGGGCGGTCCGTAACGACTGAAGCTACAAACAGATGCGAGTTATCCACCGGAGCGGCGGTGTTTTTGGCAGCGAAGAGCAGCAGTTAAAGGTAGGCATGTGGTGCCAGTGACTGAATAAAAACTGTATTGCTACGAGAAAGAAAGAAAAAAAAACCAAAGGCTGAAAATGTTCCGTCGCCGCGGCGGGCTTGGAGGTTGCCGGGTATCAGATTAGTTGGTGCACGCGGCGGCAGCAGAAAGTTGGTATGATTGGGCAACGGGACCATGTGGACGAAGAGTTCAATATCACATTAGTCGGAGTGCGTGTGGTCTGTCTAGTTGCTGTTCCTTGAGGTTGTGGCAACATTTATTACGGCTGTGTTGGCAAGAGAGCAACTGGGCAATGTCGCGTCTTGTTACGCTAACACCAAGTTAGCAAAGGTAAGCCGGTTTGGCTAGCTCACGCGCCGAAATGAATGACAGCGCGTGGGCAATTAGCCAGATATGGCAGCAATCATTAGTTTTTGGCAAAACTAAACTGTCACATAATCAGAGGCATACATTTCTCTTCAATATTGATCTTCATATTAAGCTGGGGCCGTCAAACTCTACATTTTGTGCATTCAGGTGCATTTTTTTTGGCATTCCTGCATCAGTCTATGGTGGTGCTGCAGCATATAATCGATTAGTTGTCAGCTGTGAAATTACTTCCCAACTAATTTTGGAGGGAAAAAAGTCTAAATTCTCGGATCCTCTGATTATTATTATTTTTAAATTAGGCATGCACGTTTTCAACAGTTTTCGGAAGTGGTAGTCAAACTTATACCAGAACAGCTCTGCGCTGTCTCGTCTTGTTGAACTAACAACAAGTTGGCAGATGTAAGCCTGATTGGCCAGCTAATACACAGCAATGAATGACAGCGCCTGGGTAATTAGCCAGATAAGTCAGCAATCACATTGTTTTTAAGCAAAACTAAACTGTCAAATAATCAGGGGCATACATTTTGTTTGAAGACTGACCCTCTCATTAATAGAATAGAATAGAAAAATACTTTATTTATACCAGTCTGGGAAATTACTGAAGCTGCTTAAGCTGGGGGTTTCTGTAGTGGAAATTTATTTCCTGCATTCAGGTACATTTTTTTTTTTTTGCCATTTCTGCATCAGTTTATGATGGTGTTGTAGCAAATTATCAATTGTCAGCTGTGAAATTACTTGTCAACTAATTTTGAAGGAAAAAAGTCTAAATTCTCTGATAACTGTGTCTTAAATGTGAATATTTTCTGTTTTTTCTCCACTATAACAGTATTCTCATAGAACCTGACATGTAGTGGTGTATAGAATGGTCTGACTGCACCACCGTTTATTATGATAAGGTGAGGAAAGGCTCTGGCATGTATTTCATATTTCAAGTTTAATTAGGCATGCAGATATCAAACAATTTTCCATAACTAATAGTCAAACTGATAATGGAACAGCTTTGCCATGTATTGCACCAAGTTAGCAAAGGTAAGCTGGTTTAGTTAGCTCATACACCAGAATTAGTGTTGAAAATTAGCTAAATATATCGGAGTTCTTTTAAAAAAAACTCATGAGTCACAAAGTCAAGGGCATAGATCTCATTTCAACATTGACCCCATTAAGTTGGGGGTCTTTCTTTGATAGTAGTGCTGCAACAATTAATTCATTTATTGTCAACTTCCAAGTCAAGCGCCAACTTTTTAATAATCACCTAATCAGTTTGTGTATTTTTATAATCGAAAAAAAAGGAAAAATTATTTGATTTCGGCTACTTAAATGTCAACATTTTCAAGGCGATTTTCCTCCTTTATGACAGTGGTCTCAGATAGTCCGACCTTTCTCGGGCGCTGTGTAGAATGATCGGACTGCACCTCATTAGTATTCTGCAGTATGGGGGGGAAGCCTCTGGTGCGTTGGTATTACAATTTAGTTAGTAATAACAAGGTGCTATAGCTAATGTGCAGTATGTTAGTGTATTTTTAATTAGGTTATGAACTGCAATTAAGTGACTAACAAATCATTAATATCCTTAAGCCAATCATAATCGTCCTGGAGTTGCTAGGAACAGGATGCTGTGGCAGTGGTTGCTCAAAATAGGGATGTGGGGAATTGTTTCAGTGGAACATTCGCTTGCAGGGAGGTGGGAACTGTTATTAAAATGACTAATTCACCAAGGACACCTAACAGGGCAGCCTTACTGCACTATTCAAACCCTTCACCAAAATTTTCAGCATGTACAGTGCTGCTCAGGGGATTAGATTAGATTAAACCTTTATTGATCCCACAACGGGGAAGTTTTCAGTGTTACAGCAGCAGATAGAAAAAAAAACACAGTACAGGGGGAAAAATGCAGTTGTTCCTGATATTGAGGGAAATATGTCCCCTGCATCCTCCTTGAAATCTACATCTATGCATAAATTAATGGTAGTGACCGTAATTAGAGGGGAAATCACGTGACATTTTAGCTAAAACATACATTTCAAAGCGTTAACTACAAGCATTACATTCTTATCCTGTTACGCTAAAGCCAATATTTACCTCTTTTTCAAACTGTCAGACTGCACTTAACCGTTAGGACGAGCCTGACTGACAACTATATGGACTAAACGCTGGCTGGGTGTCTATTAAAGCAGTCTTTTATTATTCAAATAAAATTGTTCTAATTTGAGTATAAAATATTTGCATTGCTGCTGCTTATAAGTGTAAATTGTCCAACTCACAGCCTTAATATACACCGAGGGCAGCAAAGAATACTGATATTTTTATAAGCAAATTCAAGATGTACCGTTTAAGTTGGTTTTATTTATTTAACTTATTATGCATTTATCTATTGTACATATTGGTTAATTTCTTCTAT